CGTCGTATCGCTATCCTTCGGCATCGGCGCCGGCTGAACCGGTGACCAGTAGAGTGAGGACCTCTGTATCCTGTGAAGAGAGTAGCAGAGGAACAGAATCCGTTCTCGCACGCACGCAAGCAAATGGTATAGAAACGGAAGGGCGCTGCAACAAGCAGCTGACGACGATACGCAATCAACCTTCTGTCACTGCTTACGGCCAGTCATCTCCCCAAAATGGCACAGCTCGTGCCCTCGACTCAGCACCGTGCGATGCCGCCGTGCCGTCCGCTTCTGTCACTCGGAACGCTAATGCCCAAGTGCAAGCAAACCCCATATCCCATTCTGAGGGCGGCGGTAATTCCGCCGAAGCGACACTGCGCTCTTCTCGTGGATGTGAGTTGTCAGGGAATCGCGCCGCGCCTGGAGCAGATGGGGCGAGTGCAGTATTGCCTCCTTCGACTGTCGTTGAAGGAAAGAAAATTAGTGTTACTGCTGCCGCTGCTGCTGGTGGTACTTCTGCAGTTGGTGCTGTTTCAGGAGGAGGCCTAGGAGGGAGAGGAGGTGTGGATGTGGTAAATTCAGGCGCCCATGTGTCCGTGACTATGGCAACAGAGCCTTCTCAGGGACGAGAATCAGAATCGCCTTCTACGAGGACACTAGCGCCTAGTGCACCAGCGACTGAGGCTGTGGCTGCGACACCAGTTGTGACTGCGACTGCCTCTGCGACACCAGTAACTGTGGCTGCGACTCCAGCGGTTGTGACTGTCAGACGAGTAGTTGCAACCGCAGCAGCGAATGCCCCTGCAACTGCGAAATCAGTCATTGCGAGACGAAATGGTGTAGCCACAGTTACCGTAGCGCCGGCTACAGCTGTACCGGCTGCAGCAGCTGTGCCGGTTACAGCAGCGGTAGCCACAACAGTGCTTGCCACAGCAGTGCCAGAGAGAATGGCGCCGGTAGTTGCATGCGCGTCAGCGAAAGCACTAAAGACAGTTGTCGCAGGCACGAAGCAGCCCGTCGTTGCTTCAAGGGACGCTCTTCGGACTGATCATCGCCCGTTCACCTCTTATCCTCCCGGTTCCACTCCCCCCACCGTAGCAGCAGCGTCACTTCATGGAGGGGCGGCTGGAGAAGTAAGGGAAGTAGCAGGAGTAGCGGGAGTTGCGGAAGTAGCAGGTCCTGCAAGCGCCGAGGCGGCAGGCTTACCACATTCCACCTCTCTAAAGTCCTCCTCGATAATAGTCCCGCCTGTGAAGCAGCCAGCAGCAGCGGCTATCAGCAAGCCTCCTATGCGTGTGAGCAGACCAGGTGTAGCGGCGCCGAGCAGGTCACCTGAAAGCGCTACAGCCGGTGTGGTGGGAGGAGAAGGAGCGAGGAAGGCCCCAGGATATGCGGTGGGGAAAGCAGTGGACAGGGTATCTGAAAGCGGGCATGCAGTTGCTGCAGCGCTTGGATCCAGAAAACCAGTGCTGGCGTACGCATCGGTTCCTGTTCCTGCGGCAGCAGCAGCAGTAGCAGCAGTACCATCACCAGCACCACCAACAGCAGCAGGAGCAGCAGTACTATTACCAGCACCAGCACCACCAACAGCAGCAGCAGCAGCAGCAGCAGCAACACCTGGTTCGGAGCGAAGGGGAGAGGGCGGGCACGTAGGAGGGAGTCTGGAGAGGGACAATGTCAGGCCCGTGTCGACATGGCCCTCGTCGGTGCCACCGTCTCAGCACCCGCAACAGCCGGCGGAGCAGCAGCAGTTGCCGCCGCCGCCGTCGCAGCAGCAGCAGCAGCAGCAACTGAACCAGGGCACGTGGCATAGTGTACCGGGCTCCCCTTCGAGTGTGCCTCCCGTGAGTGTACCAATTGTTTCTCTCTTAGGTAATTACCCACCAGTGGACGCGAGGTCTCTTGAAACTCGTCCTCCTCCTCCTCGCCCTGATGTTGCTGCTCCACTTGCTGCCGCTCCCGCTGCTGTTGTCGCGGTTGCTTCGCCATTGTCTATTATCCCTCCTGCGCCACAGCCGCTGGAGGTCATGACCGGGTCTGGCGCTGTCCCTAGCAGAGCAGGTAGCGGCGGAAACGGTGGAGCAATGGTTGCAGTCGATGACGCTGGCGCTGCAGCAGGGCAGGCACCGCAATCGTCGGAGAAGGGCGGGAAGAAGGACAGGAAGCGTGACCGGCATAAGAAAGCATCGGACGGCCGGAATCCCATGATCCGGCTGAATCCGGGTACGGCCGATCGGTTCTTCGCGATCCAACGGTTACTGGAGAGTAAGCGCGCGAAACGGACTTCAGGCTCATTTGTAGTCAACTGGCTCATTGATATCTCACATGCGAGCATTCAGGGCGTTGTGGAGGACGAAGGGCAGGCGGGGGAGGGGCTCGGGTTTGGCTTGGTGGGAGGGTTCAGTGGAATTCGGGGAGATATGGAAGCAGATGAGGAGGACGAGGAGGAGGAAGAAGAGGAGGATGAGAGCCTGATTCCCGGATTTGCAGGGCTGATTATGGACCATGGACAGTCTTTTATGGAGGGGGATTTTGGGCAGCCGATGGAGTGGGATCAGACTCTATCGCAGCAGATGTTTTTGCCTTCTCAGCAGCACTTGCAGGCGCAGTGTCAGCCGCAGGTGCTGTCTGGGCTGCTTCCTCCACCCTCCCATCAACTAGAAGCACAGCTGCATACGTTCCCGCAGCATCCTGAGCAGCAGCAGTTGCTGCCATCACTGCAGTGCCAGCAGCAGCAGCAGCAGCAGTCTCAACAGCAGCAGTCTCAACAACAGCCGTTGCCTCAGCAGCGACCGCATGTTCATCAGGAGTTGGGTTTCCATGAGAAAATGGATCAAATTCACGAATTTTTGGACCAACCTCTCTGAGTCATACATGAGAGTTTGCCAACCCCCATGAAGGAAGTTATCATGAGAGTGAAGCCTTGTATCTCAGTTAGTGAATTCTAGTCCAGAGCATTGTACGTAACTCAGTTCTAGCTGCCTCTGGTCTGGTTTCATATCGTGAGTGAGGTTCACTTGCGCGTCAAGCTCTTCCCTGGTCAATTCTTTTATTGTTAGTCTCCCATGTGTTGGTGGACGGCTAAAAGTGAACAACCATAATGGGTTTGAGTGCATAAATCAGAGCTGGTTATCTCAAATAGTATACAAGTCGTAGTGTAGGTTTCGTGCTTGAACAATTCCACTGCTTCGTACGCTTTACTATGTTATCGAGTGTGTAGTCGGGCCGCTGTTTCTCGAAACTTCGTTACAATTTGGGGACCTGCGTAGGTGTGCCTTCTTCACCCAGCCAGGTTTTGTATTAGGGCAGGTTGATGTGGCATGCTCCTCACAGATTGGACATCAACCAATGGCCGTGTTTCTCTCCCCAGGTGCTTGGTCATCGAATCACGTCCGTCGGTTACAGTTTTGGATCCGCAATGGGGGCGGAATGGCGCTACTCACAACATTATCCTGCCCGAATACTCCAGAACTTGCTATCTGCCCGACATTTCTGGTACTGGCGGTCGCACCACCCTAAATATCTGGCAGCACGAGGCGGAAGTCGAGGGCAATCTGGCGACCAATCTCGCCACCCTGACCAAATGGGAAGTCCGTTTCCAATCCCAGCCCACCACCACCACTCACCAACCAGGACAGCACACACTCAGGGGACATGACCCCAAAACGACGAGTCACCACCAGGCAGCACAGCCGGGGGGCAGACCCAACTTCAAGGCTTCACCGAACCATTACGTACTGTACCACGCACAACCACGCTGCTGAACATGGCATCTAGGGCACGACGAAGTTGAGATTTTAACCTAGAACCTTATTCAACCGCTATCGGAAGCAAGCGAAACGTAGAACAATCCAATCAAACCGCATCAAAGCGGATTCTCATGTCACGCCCCAAGTTTCTTGTTGTGCCGCACCATCCAATACAGTCAGACCCACCCACCTCTCCCATGCCAGAATTCAGAACACAACACGCCTGCTCTTTCGCCATTCGCCGCCGCACAACAGCAGCAGCACATGCTCCCTGCTCCCATTGACGACTTCTTTGTGCATGCTCGCCTTGACGAGCCGCATCACTTGAACTGGTTCTCCTTCACGCCGTGGTGGACGTGGCTGCCAGTGAACTGCGTTTGAATCCTCGCCTTTATTGTGGCTGCCACGGTTTACCATCCGTGATTTAATAGCCAATCGTTTCTGCTTCTCGATTGGGCCAGTCTTAGCACGCGATATTTTCTAGGCATAGGCTCAGTAGTGAAGAACTTCGTTTCTTGCATGTGTAGTTTAGGTAATTAGGTCGAATTCGAGCTCCCTTTCAATGAACACTTCCCAGTAGATTACTCTTTAGAGAGGAAAGCTGCCTGTGTTGCGGACGGCATGCAGCCATCGAAAGGGTTGCGAGCAGCAACAGCGGCGGGACGAGTCAACACTGGCACAGACAGCAGCCGCTGCCTCCCTCTGCTAGTTGACCACAGCATGCAGTGTTCGGTTTCTGACTCGCGCGCACGTATACGTTGCCGAACCGTGAGCTGTCTCCAATGGTCGTAGCGTTGGCGCGCGCACTCGCCTTCTAGCCTTCTTTTGAGGCGCCTCAAAAGCCTTTTAGATCCAGCTTAACCGTCGCGCTCTTCGGCTCCTCTTCTCCTCCGCGCCTAATCTTGGTTCTAATTCGATCTTACGATTCAAAATCTCCCGTTTCCTCCTTTCCCGCCTCCTCGCCTCTCACCGTCTCTCCGCTATCTCTCTTGTCTCTTCGCTTCTCTCTCCTCGCTCCTCTCTCCTCTCTCCTCTCCTCCATGACACATGGATCCCCTCGCCAACATATTCATGGGCCGCCATGGCCACTGCTGTCACCCCAGCGCTCCATTCTGCACCACAACCGCACCAGATCCCTTCTCAGCTGCCAGCACTAGCGGAACCAGCGGCAGCAGCAGCGGGATTAGCGGCGGCGATGTATGTCCGGGCAGCAACGGGCTCGGTCCCTCCGATAGAGGCAGCTGCGGCGCCGCGAATGGCGCGGCGGGGATGGCGCTTCCGCCGTACCCCGCCGGCTGTCGCAGCACGGGCGCCGGTTTCACGTTCGGCGGCTTTGGAGGCATCTTAGCCGCGTTTCTGAGTTCCACTAGTGAGGCGATTGGCAGGGCCAGTAGCGGGGCGGGCTACAGCGGGGATGGAGGTGGAAGCGGGGGAAGATCAGGAAGCAGTTGGGCTTTGGAATGGGATCCCGCTGAAGCAGGAAGCAGCGGCGGCGGCGGCGGCGGCGGCGGCGGCGGCGGCGGGGACGGGGGGATGGGCGGCGGTTTAAGCAGCAGCAACAGCACGTTATTTGTGTTCTCCGACGTGTTTCCACCCGGGTGGCCTTTCTCCCTCCTCACTGGCTGGTCTATCGCCTTCCTCCTCCTCACGCTCCTCGTCGCATTCGTCGTCCATCGCACCGTGCGACACTGGCAGCTGCAGCTGTCCGTCGCACGGCTGAAAGCCGCGGGATTCCTTCGCCACGCGCTCATGCGACGCGGCGACATGCCACTCGCCGACCACTCGTGGTTCGTGGAACCATCGAAGAACCTTCCTGGTCCGATCACCTGTTGCGTGTGTATGGAAGAGATTGATAAGACGAAGGAGAGAGCGGATGGGGGGGGAGGGGGAGGGGGAGGGGGAGGAAGCAGCGGGGAAGAAGCAGCGGTAAGAGGGGGAAGGACAGGAGGAGTGGAGGGACTTGGGTGGAAAACAAAAGAGGCGGGAGATTTTTCCGAAGGGTTGGGGATCGGTTGTGGTAGGTGTGAAGGGGAAGATGCGGGAATAGCGGCGACTCCGCGGGGGAGAGCTGGGAAGAGGGGGAGAGGGAGGGGGGGAAGGTCGGGAAGGTGGCGGAACCTGGCGGAGGAAGGCGAGGGGAAGGGGGGAGGGCGGGGGGCGACGGGGGCTGGTTTAGGAGATGCGGACATCCATGGAGGGGCGAATCAGGAGGAAGGAGGCGGAGGGGGAGGCGGATGCGGAGGGGCAGGCGGAGGGGGAGGCGGAGGGGGAGGGGGGGTGGATCGGTGCTCCGTGTGCGGAGTGACGGCGCATGAGGAGTGCGTGGGCGCGGCGAGCAGGGACTGCAAGCGCGTGGCGATGACGGGGCGCAGTGTGGCGCACCAGTGGGTGGAGGCGAGTCAGATCAAGATCGAGGAGGACCGGCACGACGAGGACCTCGTGTGCATGCTGTGCGATGAAGAGGTGCGCTGGTTGGTGGGTGGGTGGGTGGGTGGGTGGGTGGGTGTTGCTGTGCGACCAAGAGGTGCGTGCTTGCATTCAGGGAACCTAGCTGGCTTTTGAGTCAGATCAAGTCAAGATCGAGGAGGGCTGCGTGTGCATGCTGTGTTATGTTATGAAGAGGTGGGTGCATGCTTTCACGCACGCGGGAAGCACGTTTGAGAATGGGGCGAGTGACTTGTGAGGCGCCTCAAAAGAGGTTGGTGCATGGGGCTAGTGTTGGGTGTGGGTGTGGGGGTGGGTGGGGATGGGTTTGGGTGTGGGGGTGGGGGTGGTAATAATAGAAAACTTCCAACCCCTTTCCCCTCGTCCTTTCACCCAACGATCTTTCCAACTCCACAACCCCACAACCACACCCCCACCATCGCCCCATCAGGTCCAGTCCGTGTTCAGCACAGGCAAGCCAGTGTGGCGCTGTGTGTGTTGGTAGCCTCCCTTTTCCCTTTCCTTTCCCCACACTCACCCCATCTCCCACCCCCATCTCCCACCCCCATCCCCACCCCCATCCCCACCCCCACCCCCATCTCACCCCACCAGGTGAAGTCCGTGTTCAGCACAGGCAAGCCAGTGTGGCGCTGTGTGCGGTGCAAGCCTCCCGTCATCCTTTCCCTCCCCCCAACAAAACCACCCTCCACCCCCATCCCCACCCCCACCCCCCACTATCTCCCCACCAGGTGAAGTCTGTGTTCAGCACGGGCAAGCCAGTGTGGCGTTGCGTGTGGTGCTAGCCTCCCGTCATCCTGTCCCTCCCCTCAAAATCACCCTCCAACCCCATCTCACCCCACCAGGTGAAGTCCGTGTTCAGCACAGGCAAGCCAGTGTGGCGCTGTGTGTGGTGTCAGCGGCTGGTGCACGTGTTCTGCCGCCCGGCAGTCATGAAAGCCGGAGAGGACCCCTGTGACTTTGGCGCCCTGCGCCGCTCCATCGTCTCCCCTCTCTGCGTGCGCGAGAGAGGCGCGGTTGGGATCAGCAGCAGCGGCGGCGGTGGTTTCGGTGCTGCTGCCGGCGCTGGTGGTGGAGCTGGTGGTGGTGGGGGGGCAGGAGGAGGAGGGGGGGGTTCGGCGTTTGGGTATAGCCCTGCGGCCGCTGCCTCGGGCATGCGGGATTTGATCTCCTCCTGGCGGCAGAACGCCGGGGAGCTTGCGAGCAATGTGAACCGTTCGATCAGGAAACGGGCCAAGAGGCGTGCTAAGAAAGTGGCTAGTTCGGCTGACTTGCTGAATGGAAACGGGAATGGGGCTGGGCATGGGAATGGGAATGGGAATGGGAATGGGAACGTGCATGCACATGGGAGTGGCACTGGGGATGGAGGGGTGGTGGGTCAGGGTGGGGGAGGAGCAGGAGGGGCGGATTTTCCGGAAGGGGAGGCTATGCTGTTAACGAATGGGCTTATAAGCGGGTTTGATGGGGGGTTTCCGTCGTCACCTAGTGGGTCGTCGGTGGGCGGTGGCGGGGAGTGGGTGAGGGTGAATGGGGGGCGCACGCACAACAACAGCAACAATAACAACAATAACAACATGGATGCCAGCAGTTCCAGTAGCTCAAGTGCTGCTAGTAGTATTGGCGTCGGTGGTAGTGGTATTGGTTATGGTGCTGTTGCTGCTGGTGCTGCGGGTGGTGGTGCTGCTGCTGGTGCTGGTGGTGGTGGTGGTATTCGAAATCTGAGTGGGTTTAATGCAGGGGGCACGGAGAAGGGAGGAGGAGGGGAGGCTTGTGTGTTGTCCCAAGGGGAAGGTAGTGACGGGTCGTGTGAAAGGGAGGGCAGGGAGGGCAGGGGTCTGGACAGGCACCCAGTGGGTGAGAGGGGAGTTGCTGGAGGTAGAAGAGCGTCACAACTGCAGCACGAACAGCCGCACAACCGTCAGCAGCAGCAGCCGCAGCAGTTGGTGCAGCAGCAGCAGCAGCAGCAGCAGCAGCAGCAGCAGCAGCAGTACGAGATAGTGAACCTGCCAGCAGACGCGCGGCCGCTGCTGGTGTTTGTGAACAAGCGCAGTGGGGCGCAGCACGGCTCTGCTCTCAATCGCCGCTTCAACATGCTGCTCAACCCCATTCAGGTGCGCCCAACCCCATTCAGGTGCGCCCAACCCCATTCAGGTGCGCCCAACCCCATTCAGGTGCGCTCAACCCCTTTCAGGGGCGCACAACCCCATTCAGGTGCGCTCAACCCCACTCAGGTGCGCTCAACCCCATTTCAGGGGCGCTTAACTAAAACCACTTTAGAGACGTCTCAAAGCACGGCTCTGCTCTCATGCGACTCTTCAGGTGGGCGCTCAACTTAAGACCCTCTCTTTCCACAATTGCAACGGCAGGTGGTAGAACGATCCAAGGACCAGGGCCCTGAACTGATTACAGCCCGTGTGTGTGACAGACAGCCCAACCTTTCAACATTCACACCATCCGATTCCTCTCTCTTTGTATATCCCTCTTTCCTAGCCCACTCTCCACCTCATGTGGTAGAGCTATCCAAGGACGGGGGTCTCGAGTACAGGCTCTCTCTCTTTGAGCACTTGCCCCAACTTCAGGGTGCTGGTGGGGGGAGGAGGGGGGGGGGGGGGGGGGGGGGGGAAGGGGGGGGGGGGGGGGGGGGGGGGGGGGGGGGGGGGGGTTATTTTTTAGGCGAGTTTCATAAATGTACTTTCTCCCCTCCCCAACACCTGTCTCATCTCAGGTGGTAGAGTTATCCAAGAACCGGTGTCCCAAGTTCGGGGTCTCTCTCTTTCTTCGACCACCTGCCCAACTTCAGGGTGCTGGTGTACGGGGCTATTTCTGAGTCGAGCGTCAAAGAAACACTTTTTCTCTCCTCCCTTGCCCAACATCCATCCCATGATCTCACTCTCCAGGTGGTGGAGCTATCCAAGGACCGGGGCCCAGAGTACGGGCTCTCTCTCTTCGACCACGTGCCCAACTTCAGGGTGCTGGTGTGCGGGGGCGATGGCACAGTGGGGTGGGTGTTGGGCGCGATAGAGAAGCGCGGCTACGACATCCCCCCGCCCGTTGCCGTGCTGCCCATAGGCACTGGGAACGACCTTGCCCGCGTGCTGGGATGGGGAGGGGGGTTTGGCGCGGTGGAGCGACAGGTGGGTGCGCGAGAGAGAGTGTGTTTCTCTCAGAGTTGGTTGGTGGGTTAGAGCAAAAAGAAGAGATGTGGTGCGTTTTGTATGTTCTTTGGAAGGGAGACGGTAAAGCTAGGAAGGAAAGGCGGATGACCTTGCTCGCTCGTGTGATGGGAATGAGAGGTCGTGTGACCTTGCCCAGCTTTGGAGTTGTCGAGCATTGTTCATAGAGTGTCATGGAGTGTCATGCAGTGGAGGTGAGTGAGAGTGACAGCGTTGGGTCTGGGAATTCGTTCGGTGCTGCTGCTGAGCGTAAAATACTCACACACCCATTGCCACCGGCTCAATCTTTCCACAGTACCATCCCCTTCCCGTTTCCCTTTTTCCCCTCCCCTTTCTTTTTCCCCCTCGCTTCTCTCACCCCAACACAACACCATCTCCTCTCGGTTACCCTGCAGGGCGGGCTGCTGTCAGTGCTGCTGAACATAGAGAATGCGCCCATTGCCATTTTGGACCGATGGGCTGTCACTTTCCTCCCTTCCTTCCCACTTCCCCCTCCCCCATCTCGCCAACACCATCCCCATGCTGTTACCCTGCAGGGCGGGCTGCTGTCTGTGCTGCTGAACATAGAAAACGCGCCCATTGCCATTCTAGACCGATGGGCTGTCACCTTCCACCCCGCTGCTGGTTCTGCTGCTGCTGCTGCCATCACTGCCTCTTCTCAATCGTTTGCGTCTGCCTCTGCGACTGCTGCCTCAGCTCACGCTGCTGCTGCTGCTGCAGGGCAGACAGGGGGGAAGGGCAAGGAGAGGGAGAAGGGGAAAGAGAAGGGGAAGGAGGAGGGGAAGGAGGAGGCTCCTCAGCCGAAGTATATGAACAATTATCTGGGTAAGTGTGTTGTTTAGTGGCTTCTTGCGTGTGTTTCTAGCACTTTGTTGAAAACACCTCTTTAGGGCTTTCTAAGCTTGAGCTGCCCCATGCTGCTGATATGTTCTTCGAGGTGGCTTTTGAGTCGACTCACAAGTCACCTTGTTGAAAACACCTCTTCAGGGCTTTCTAGGCTTGAGTTGCCCCGTGCTGCTGGTATGTTTTTCCGAAATGCGTTATGCGTCCCAGTCGTGAAAGTTGCTTTCCCTTGTGCCAACGCCACAGTACATCTGGTTGTGTGATGGCATGTGCGTGTGCAAGTATGTGTGCGTGTGTGTGTGCATGTGCATGCGTGTGTGTGTGCGTGTGTGTGGTGCATGTGTGTGTGTGTGCACGTGCATGGGTGCGCAGGTGTGGGGTGCGATGCCAAGGTGGCTCTGGAGATCCATCTCCTAAGGGAGGAGAACCCCGAAATGTTCTACAACCAGGTGGGGTTTAGAGCTACTCCACCTCCCCTCCCCTCCCCTCCCCTCCCCGCTCCGTGGGCGTGGGCTACTTTTGAGACGTCTCAAAGGGCTCTGGAGATCCATCTCCTCCGTGGGCGTGGGCTAAGGGAGGAGAATCCCGAGATGTTCTACAACCAGGTGGGTCATGGCCTCATGGCCAACCCTGCTTGCTTCCTTTCACTCTCACACTTTCACGTGCTGAGGCGCCTCAGAAGTTCTTGAGGTGCTTGAAAGGAATGTGAGGCGCCGCGCCCGCGCCTCAAGAATGACGTTCAGAGGGAGGAGATTCTCGAGTTGAGAAGTTGAGATGTTCTACAACCAGCCAGGTGCATGCCATCCCTGCTGCTTCCCTTCCCTCCCCTCGCACACCATCCGCTGCAGGTGTGACAGGCTGTTTTGAGGCGCCTCAAAACCACACCATCCGCTGCAGTTGTGTCCGGCTGTTTCTGAGAATGCTTAGAAGCAACTCAGTGCGCCATCCTGACGTCTCTCATGACACGTGCATTTTGTGGCGCCTCTAAGGCTCCCCTTCCTCCAATCCACTCGGCTATCCCCCACCCGTCACATCACCCCACCCCCGCCCTCCCTTCCCCAGTTCCTGAACAAGGTGCTGTATGCCACAGAGGGTGCACGGGACTTTGTGGACCGCAGCTGCAAGCCATCCCACCGCATCTCACCCCATCCCACCCGCTCCCCCCATCCCCCCCCACCCTCCAGTTCCTGAACAAGGTGCTGTATGCCACAGAGGGCGCTCGGGACTTTGTGGACCGCAGCTGCAGCAACCTGCCATGGCACGTGCGCGTGGAGATCGACGGCCGCGAGGTGGCCATTCCAGAGGTGTGGTGTGGTGCGGTGGTGGAGTTGGGTGAGGTGGGATCGGGTGGGATGGGGTGGGGTGGGATGGCGTATGCTTTTGTGTGGTGCAGCATGGTGTGGCCAGGAGCTATTAGCAACATGCATGGCACGTGGAGATAGACAGGCACGATGTGACCGTGGCAGAGGTGGGGAGGGATAGGGTGGTGGTGAGGTGGGGTGGTGGTGAGGTGGGGTGCGGTGGTGGTGGGGTGCGGTGGTGGTGGGGTGGGGTGGTGGTGGGGTGCGGTGGTGGTGGGGTGCGGTGGTGGTGGGGTGCGGTGGTGGTGGGGTGCGGTGGTGGTGGGGTGCGGTGGTATGTGGCGCACGCATGCAGGTTCACATGGATGGATTGGTGTTCCGGTCCCACGTCTCACCCACCAGTAGTTGACTTTTGAGTTGACTCAAAAGTCACCTTGTCCCACGTCTCACCCACCAGGAACTAGAGGGCATGTTGGTGCTGAACATAGGCAGCTACATGGGGGGAGTGGACCTGTGGCAGAACGAGGAGGAGCTGGATGACGGGCTGGCACCGCAGCTCATGCACTCTTTCACATGCACACATGCACCCATCCGCACACCCCTATTGCACACAGGAACTAGAGGGAGTGCTGGTGCTGAACATAGGCAGCTACATGGGGGGAGTGGACCTGTGGCAGAACGAGGAGGAGCTGGATGACGGCCTGGCACCGCAGCTCATGCACGACCGGCAGGTGGAGGTGGTGGGCATCTGCGGCGCCTGGCATCTGGGCAAGCTGCAGGTGAGGACGGGATGAAGGTGCTGTTTCGTATGCTTCTGGGCATGTGGGAGGCGCCCTTAGAAGCAGCTCTTGCACGACCGGCAGGTGGAGGTGGTGGGTGGGCATCTGCGGCGCCTGGCATCTGGGCAAGCTGCATGTGTGGGTTAGATGTTGGTAGGGACGAAACGTTGTTTCTTAGGCCAGGTGCAGTTGGAACTGAAAGACCACGGAAGTAGCTCAATTACTCTATGGCTCAATTACTTGCTTCATTGGGGATAGCGGGTAACAATCTGTGCTTGCTTCACCTGGTTAATCAAAACCGCCTTCCCACTGCAGCCTGCATCCCAGTGCTTCTTGCACCATTCCCCTGTCTGTTCCCTCACACTACGCTTCCATTATCCATTCATTCATCCCTCCATTCCAAGCACAACCCCCCCCCTCTTCCCCCTTCCTTTCCCTTCCTGCTCCCCTTCCCCCATGACCAGGTGGGCCTATCACGTGCCATTCGCCTGGGCCAGGGCCGGTCCGTGCGAATCCACACGTCTGTGACCTTCCCCGTGCAGATCGACGGGGAGCCATGGCTGCAGGCGCCTGCCACCATCCACATCGCTCACCACTCCCAGGTACCGACTCGACTCCCTCCGCCCTGCACCCCTTAGGCACTTCTGCCTTCCCCATCCCTCAACCTCTAGCCTCTGGGCGCCTCAAAAGCATTCCCCTGGCCACATGCCCCTGCCACCATTCACATCGCCCACCACTCCCAGGTACCGACTCCCTCCATGCTCGTGCATTCCCGTGCTTACCCATCCTCGCCCCTCCTTGTTCATCCTCGCCCCTCCTTGTTCATCCTCGCCCCTCCTTGTTCATCCTCGCCCCTCCTTGTTCATCCTCGCCCCTCCTTGTTCATCCTCGCCCCTCCTTGTTCATCCTCGCCCCTCCTTGTTCATCCTCGCCCCTCCTTGTTCATCCTCGCCCTTCCTTGTTCATCCTCGCCCATCCTTGTTCATCCTCGCCCATCCTTGTTCATCCTCGCCCATCTGAATTTTTTTGTTGGACTCACAAGTACTCTCTTTCCGCTCCCTTCCCCCTTTTCTTCTACGCCCCCGCCCTCCCTCTCTTCCTCCCTCCCTCTCCCCCTGCTCCAGGCGTTCATGCTGAGGAGGACGGAGCATGCAGCGGCAGTGCTGAGCGAGGCAGTGGATGCACTCACAGCCAGGGGCGTCATCACCGCCGCTCAGAAGCACTTATTCTGGGCTTCTCTCATACCCCTGTGCTCCTCCCTCCCAATCTTCCCTCCTTCCCCTCCTCTCCGTCCTCTCCCTCCTTCCTTCCTCTCCCTCCTCCCCTCCCTCTCCCCCCTCCCCTCTCCCTCCCCCCATCCTAGGCGTTCATGCTGAGGAGGACGGAGGGGGAGCCGGTGGGGCATGCAGCAGCAGTGTTGAGCGAGGCAGTGGATGCACTCACAGCCAGGGGGGTCATCACCGCCGCTCAGAAGCGAGCGCTGCTGCAGGAGGTGGCTCTGCGACTGCAGTGATGCGCGCTGTGCAGTGCGGTGCGGTGCAGTGCGGTGCTCTGCTTTGTGGTGCGGTGCAGCACTGTGCTGTGCGTCGTGCGTCATGTCATATGCGTGATTGATGGTGGTTCTGTCTTTTAACATGTACAGGGGGTCATGATAGAGCGGAGTAGTGCCTCGCTTTGTCCTCTGCTCACTTGTACTGCATCGCCAGGTGTGGTGTAATACGGTAGCGACACAGAAGAGAGCACAGGATGCCAGATGTTGCTGTGTGACTGTAGCAGCTGCATTTTAGGAGGCTTGCTTGCTTGCGTACCAGTAATTCACATTAACAGCAGCAGCTGCACAGAATTAGCCAGGTAGCACGCTCTGCAATGTAACGGTAGTACCGTACCACGATGGTGGGATGAAACCACCCTGTCCAATCCGAACCAAACACTGCTGCTGCTGCCATTCAGCTGCTTGTGAAGGCTAGGGTATGGTACCGTAGATTCAGTAGATGACATTTGTAACCCTGGCATAGCGGAATGTTGTCCGTAGGATAGGACGCTAAGAAAGGGCAGTCTCTGTCTGGAGGCTTGTGAAGAGGCCTGTCTGTCTTACACTTCAGACGTGGATTTCTGATGTGCGCTGCGCCGAATGACGAGCTGTGTTGTGTGGTAGAGGTAGGAGAAAGCTGACAGTAATTGAATACGGATATGGATGGATGCTTCTGCACGTTCACAGTGACTTCAAACCCCACACAAGGAATTTCCACTCCACAGGATGCAACACGCCATATCGGCCTTGTTCTCAAGGCAGGTGGCATCGGCATGGCAGCAGCATCTGAAGCATTTCGTAAGAAATTTCCTCTGGCGACCAAACCACCCCTGTAAATGGGAAGTTTCGCATTTCGGCCCTGGAAACCAGGGGCTCGAGACTGGTGTGTTTCTGCCCCCTGTTGCAACCGTTTCGTCACGGGCTGTTAACTGGCCAATCCCTCTGCCATGCCATCCCGTGGCCATTCGCCTCTCTCGGGAGGGTGGCCATGGGGTGGCACAAGCATTGAAATTTGCCTGAGAGGGAAAACACGGGGAGGCTTTGAACCCTTTTGATGCTGTTGACAGAAGCCATGTTCTGCAGCCGATGCCGTGCCGTTTTGGTTTTGACGGCATTGAGAGGCTTGACGCAATTTTCTGAGCTGCTGCCCCCCAAAAAGTCAACGTTTTGGCAGCTTCTCTGCACATTCTTCAGGCGGCATCAAGTGCCTGGAGAACAAGGCCATCAGAGCCAAACGCGGATAGCCACTCTCCTCCGTACATCAGGTGCAATAATATAACATGTGCCATGCTCATACTCAGGTCAGGGTGCCTTATACGGTACCATAAATGAGATTCCTCAATAGTGCACCTGGTAAATCCTAGTGCCTACCTACAGAGGTGCACAGACCCTGGGGTCAACACCCAGAGGAGTCAACAGGGTTAACTGGTGTTCACAGGGACAATAGGAACGGGCTGAGGGGTTCCAGCAGCAACTGGCGAGTTGGCTGACTGCACTGCAGCATGCATAATAGCGAGATCGCCCAGAGCTTCTAAAGGGGACAAACGAGGATCTAGAGTGACAGGCGGGGAGGATGGATTGGCAGGGGTGGCATCGGCCAGTGTGGTGTGTGTGGGTCGTGCTGCTGCTGCAGCGGCTGCGAAGAGAGAGAGCTCTTGCTGGATGCCCAGGAGTGAGTGGAAGGAGGGGATGGGGCATCCTGCTGGGTGCGATGCTCCTGGCGGTAGATCAAGAGACACCTTTGGGAAGGGGAGGGAGGGAGGGGAGGGAGGGGAGGGAGGGGATGAGAAGAGAGGGAGGCTATTGGACACCTGTGGGAATGGGATGCTCCCCTTTAAAAAGAGAGGGGGTGGGGCATCCTGCTGGGTGTGATGCTCCTGGTGGTAAAACCAAGGTCACCTGGTAGGGAGGAGAGGAGTGTGAAAGAGAGTGAGCGAGGAGGGGAGGGAGGAGAGGACGGAGGAGTGTAAAAGACGAGAGTGAGTGAGGAGAGTGAGGGGATGGCGAGAGAAGGGAGCGGGAAGAGAGAGGAGGTGAGAAGGTTGAGGGAATGGAGAGAGGTACGATGGAATGGCAACGATAGAGAGGAAGAGGATGAACCCGTGCAACAATGGGGTGGGCACTTTTGAGGCGCCTCAAAACCCACATCAATGGAGAGAAAGAGTGTGAACCCGTGCAACAATGGCGTGGGTTTTGAGGCGCCTCAAACCCACTTACATGAAGAGGATGAGTGTGAGCCCGTGCAACAACAGCAACTGGAGTGAATTTCGAGTGTAATAGAAGCACCTATGCCCCCCACTGGAGTGGTTTCTGGGTCTCCACTGGCGTGTGGGCCTCTCCTGACCTCCACTGTATCTCCACCTCTTCGTTTCTGGCTATAGTAGAGAGCATACATGGGGAAGAGGTGCTTGCTATAGTGCCCATGCAAGGAGAGGCGACAGAAAGACGGTTCTTACGGTGTATCCAAAGCGGCCGTCCCCACTGGCATGTGGGCCTCTCCTGACCTCCACTGTTCCGCCCACACACACCACTCGCCACACCATCTGATGCCCACACAGCAGGGAGTGCAGGAATGGAAGTTGTGGCAAGTAGAAGGATCATGGAAAACAATGGGAGGAGGAGCAGGGGGAGAGCAGGGAGGGGAGGGAAAGCAGGGAGGGGAAGGAGAGCAGGGAGAGCAAGGAAAGCAGAGAAGAAGAGGATGGAGCAGGTGAGGTGCGGTGGCGGTGGGGTATGGCGCCCTTGACTCCTTTTCCAGGAGAAGAGCGAGCCTCAGTCTGCACATACAGAGTTGATGGTAGTAAGACCTCAGCAGCCCACCACAGGCCGCCATCAACCCATAGCACTCTGACGAGCCTAATCATGTGTGTGGAGTGGAGCAGAGTGTGGCGAGTGTTGCCACACTCTGCCACCATCTGGAGAGTGTTATGAGGATAATGCGAGTGGCAGAGTGCGTTGCAGTGAGAAAGAGATGCGTGGGAAGGATCGCCTGGGCGACCATGTGGCTTTGAGAGGTAGCTAGCTAGGTGTTGATGATGATGATGACCAGCTGACTCACAAGGTTGCGTGGCATGTAGGAGAAGGAGATGGAGAGAGTGCCCACAGCACCATCCTCAAACTTGCTGCTTCATGCCATGCCATGCCATATCATGTCAGTCAAGGGGAGGGAGGTGGGGGGATGTTGTCTGTGCGACGTTACTTTAAAGAGTTCTCAAAAGTGACTCCAACCTAGTGGCAGACCTGTGTGGCGACCATGTATGAGACGTCTCAAAAGTCGCCCACTTCAGTGTTTGCGAACAGGATCTTTTTATTTTGAGAACTCTCAAAAAACAATTCGGTGCTTGCGGAGCAGAGTATCATTGAGTTGGGCGTCCAAACCAGCTCCGCAACAGGATGTTCATTGAGGACAGGATGTTCATTGAGGACAGGATGTTCATTGAGGACAGGATGTTCATTGAGGACAGGATGCTCATTGAGGATAGGATGCTCATTGAGGACAGGATGCTCATTGAGGACAGGATGCTCATTGAGGACAGGATGTTCATTGAGGACAGGATGCTCATTGAGGACAGGATGTTCATTGAGGACAGGATGTTCATTGAGGACAGGATGCTCATTGAGGACAGGATGTTCATTGAGGACAGGATGCTCATTGAGGACAGGACGTTCATTGAGGACAGGATGCTCATTGAGGACAGGATGCTCATTGAGGACAGGACGTTTGAGTTGATTGAAAGATTACCTCCAGTTAGTGAGGGGCGCCTGTGTGGTTTTCTACTGGAAGCTGCTTTGGAGAGTTCTTGAAAGAACAGCTTGGATTGAAACTCTCTTTCGCCATTTCTCACTAGAAGCAGCAGCGACAGCACGTCAAAGAAGGGGAAGCGGCAGCGGCACCGGCAGTAGCAGCAGAAGCGGCGGCGGCGGCGGCGGCGGCAGCAGAAAGAGGGCTCACATTGTAGCAGTGAAGTTATCCGGGGGAGGTACATCTGCTATCTGGTGCGAACCAAATGCTGCCACTGATGATACTTTGCAGCAGCAGCAGCAGGAGCAGAAAGGGGGCTCACAGCGTAGCAGCAGCAGCAGCAGCAGCAGAGAAGCAGCAGCAGCAGCAGCAGAAGCAGCAGCAGCAGGAGCAGAAAGGGGGCTCACAGCGTAGCAGCGAAGTTATCCGGGGGAGGTACTTCTGCTATCTGGTGTGAACCAAATGCTGCCACTGATGATACTTTGCGCCCAGTCATCTGGAAAGGGGACGAGAAGGGAGAGAGTGGGGAATTGATAGAGATAGATGATAGACAGGGGGAGCGATGGATCAAGGGGGAGTGAGTGAGAGAGGGGAAAGGAGTGGTTGGGAGGCACAGAAGGAAAGAGACGAATGAGTTGAAGAGGATTTGAGGCTCTGGACTCAAGGTATGAGGACTCTCTTTCTCCCTTCAATGCAATTCAAAACACATAAGTGAAGCTCTGAGGCGCAATCAAGTTGAGGTGCTTGCTGCTTGATGGTCTTGAGAATTCTTGAAAAGAGTTTCGTGGGACACAATAACCATGTGCTTCAGCAGTTCAATGGGACGTGGGCGGGTGAAACTTACATGACACATTGCTGCCACGTAATGCACGCCACAGTCAGTAATGAATGCGCCCTGGTGTCGGCTCGTACGCGTGCATGTACACACACAAAGGGGCACAACGCAACAACACAAGCCGAAGATAAATCGCCAACAACAAGAGCAGGGAAGATGGGAAAAAAAGGAGAAGCAGTAAGGAATGGCATCCATTCCTGTCCAGACACAAGCATCGAGCATGGAAATCACTGTTAAGAATTCTCAGAAGTGAGCTCCAGTCAGTGAGCTCCAGTCAGTGAGCTCCGGTCAGGGAGCTCCAGTCAGTGAGCTCCGGTCAGGGAGCTCCGGTCAGTGAGCTCCGGTCAGTGAGCTCCAGTCAGTGAGCTCCGGTCAGTGAGCTCCAGTCAGTGAGCTCCGGTCAGGGAGCTCCGGTCAGTGAGCTCCGGTCAGTGAGCTCCAGTCAGTGAGCTCCGGTCAGGGAGCTCCGGTCAGTGAGCTCCGGTCAGTGAGCTCCAGTCAGTGAGCTCCGGTCAGGGAGCTCCGGTCAGTGAGCTCCGGTCAGGGAGCTCCGGTCAGTGAGCTCCGGTCAGTGAGCTCCAGTCAGTGAGCTCCGGTCAGTGAGCTCCGGTCAGTGAGCTGAAAGGTAGAATGCCCATGCCGACTTACCGACCGACGGCGCTCATTGCTTGCAACTAAACGGTGATACACTGCGAAGGAGTCATGTCATTCCTGTTGCCACCAAGTGCATGGCTCAATGTACAAACACCGAAGGAATGGCTCAGAGTGAGAGCTATGTTGGAACTCAGTTTTGAGAATTCTCAAAAGTGAGTCCAGTCAAAAGTCTCCTCGATAAATCAAGTGCATGATGGCTCAACGTGAACTCAGGATGGCGTTCCGAGACGTCTCAAACTCAACGAGGCAGCACATGGCTCACCGTGAAGTCGGGATCGCGGCGCCACTGGCTGGGGAAGTGCTTGTCGGCCGGGGTGAGCCGTGATTACGCCGCCGCGGTCCTCCTTGCACACACTAGAAGGGCAAAATACAGTAACAGTCAGGCTCGTGGCTCACCGTGAAGTCGGGATCGCGGCGCCACTGGCTGGGGAAGTACTTGTTGGACGGGGTGAGCCGTGATACTGCCTCGTGCCCCCTTGCACACATGAATGTGCGCACAGCAAGGGGCACAACACAGTATCAGTCAGGCTCGCAGTGGCGTGGCTCACCGTGAAGTCCGGGTCGCGGCGCCACTGGCTGGGGAAGTACTTGTTGGACGGGGTGAGCGAGGTCTCTGCCACCACCTGCACTGCCAGCATGGCGCCCAGATGAGAGACGATTTCTCGTGCCTGGGGGTGAGGGGTGTGGGGTTGGGGTGTGGGGTTGGGGTGTGGGGTTGGGGTGTAACAGAGTTGAACATGGCAGGGTGTGAGCGAGGTCTCCGCCACCACTTCAAGTGGTCCACTTGCACTGCCAGCATGGTCCCCAGATGAGTTACTATCTCGCGCGCCTGGGGGGTTGGGGGAGGCGTGTGGTAGGGCTGAACTGAACAAGGGGTGTGTGCGGGGAAGAGAACCCACCAGCAGCACCAGCAGAACCAGCAGCAGCACCAGCAGCAGCACCAGCAGCACCAGCAGCAGCACCAGCAGCACCAGCAGCAGCACCAGCAGCAGCAGCAGCAGCAGCAGCAGCAGCAGCAGCAGCAGCAGCAGCAGCAGCAGCAGCAGCAGCAGCAGCACCAGCAGCACCAGCAGCAGCACCAACAGAACCAGCAGCAGCAGCAGCAGCAGCAGCAGCAGCAGCAGCAGCAGCAGCAGCAGCAGCAGCAGCAGCAGCAGCAGCAGCAGCAGCAGCAGCAGCAGCAGCAGCAGCAGCAGCAGCAGCACCAGCAGCAGCACCAGCAGCACCAGCAGCAGCACCAGCAGCAGCACCACCAGCAGCAGCAGCAGCAGCAGCACCAGCAGCACCAGCAGCACCAGCAGCAGCACCAGCAGCACCAGCAGCACCAGCAGCACTGCTCTGAGATGGGCAGCGATGCAAGCTGGGGACTGCGCGAGACGGCTTTTGAATCGACTAATTAAGTCACCTTGCGAGGCGATGCGAGCCAGGGATGGTGCGAGAAGCTGCAGACGGTGCCGAGAAATGGTACAAAGTTTCTGCTGTGCTGGCTGCCTGGCACACACCTGGTCAACGGCTGGCACACACCTGGTCAACGGCTGGCACACACCTGGTCAACGGCTGGCACACACCTGATCAACGGCTGGCACACACCTGGTCAACGGCTGGCACACACCTGGTCAACGGCTGGCACACACCTGGTCAACGGCTGGCACACACCTGGTCAACGGCTGGCACACACCTGTTCAACGGCTGGCACACACCTGGTCAACGGCTGGCACACACCTGGTCAACGGCTGGTACACACCTGGTCAAACGCAGGTTCGAGGCGAAAGTTCTCCCCAACGGCCCACAGAGGTGCTTGATGCGAGGAGGAGGAGGAGGAGAGAGGGGCTGAGAGGCGTGATGCCTCTGCATGTAGGGCAAGGGCCTGGGGGTAGTCTGGGTGGTGTGTGATGCGGTGGTGAGAGGGATGAAGGGGTTGAGTTGAGAGGGGTGAGGGGGTCGAGAGGGGTGAGAGGTGTGAGGGGGGTAAGAGGTGTGAGAGGTGTGAGAGCGGTGAGAGGTGTGAGAGGTGTGAGAGGTGTGAGAGGTGTGAGAGGGGTGAGAGGGGTAAGGTGGGTGACCGTGAGGGGGTGAGGGGGGTGAGGAAGGGAGGTGGGGTGAAGGGGAGGTTTAGGTGCCAAAGAGAGATATTATGGAAAAATGGAAGAGAACAGAGGTGACAGCGAACCATGATGCTGTAATGGAGACGAAAAGACTACTATCCGGTCTGGATAAGCAGCAACATGGGCGTGAGAGTTGATATGGGTGTGAGGATTGACGGGAACGTGAGGGATGTGGGCGTGATGATAGACCGATGGGACGCTGAGAATATATGGTGTGGCATGTAGGAAGAAACAAGTCAAACGGCAGGTGGATGTAGGGTTGGAGGTGCCGAGGAACGAGGCATATGAGTGTGCGCATGCATCTCCGCATGTGTATGTCCGTGCACGAGTGTGTGCGTGCGTGCCCACTTCCGAGGGAGCTTCACCTGCTGCTATAGGCTTCTCTGGTGGGGGTCACAGAGATGGGATGGGAGGGAGGGGGGGAGTGAGGGGGAGTTGGGTACAACAGGCAATGGAGAAGAATGGGACACAAGTCAGAAAGGGAGAAGGGGGAAAAGGAAGAAGGGGGAGGGAATCGAGAGTAGGTGAGAGGAGGGCACGTGGACGGAAATGGAAACGACCGCTGCAAAGCATGAGGGCTGGAATAGGGCAGACATATCAGGCATTGGTGATAGAGGGAGGGAGGGAGGGAGGGAGGGAGGGAGGGAGGGAGGGAGGGAGGGAGGGAGGGAGGGAGGGAGGGAGCGAAGCAAGGAAGGAGTTACCTTGCATGACATGCTTTCCCGCTTTCAAGAAACGCAGCACCAGCGCTGGCTGGAACGAAGAGGTTACGGCAGCACGCGGGATGTGAGGAAGGGGGAGGAGAAGATATGAAGAGAAGAGAGGAGACGAGAGGAGATGAGAGAAGACGAGAGGAGGTGAGAGAAGGCGAGAGGAGTAAGAAAAAATGGTAAATCACGGCAGGAGAGAGAATAGAAGACGTTTAATGCAGGATATAAGGCATCCTGCGGGCCTAGGTGAAACACTCCTCAGGATATGCGTAGACATGAATAATTCAGTGTTAACCCACTCCTGCCTGCCACTCACGCCACTCCTCCCCTTCAAACAGGCAGCCTAACCAAGTAACTAGGCTCATGGCATTGCACAAGCAAGCACTCATTGGCTCTCCTTGAATCAGGCGACCTTGTGGCACACCCCATGGCAAAGGCATTGCACAAGCACACACCCAACACGGCTGGAGGAGAATGAGGTTGCTTTATGTAACGAGTTGAAGACGCACGAGCGCACGCACAAGATAGCTGAATGCACATGGATTATAACGAACCTGGACTTGCACCGGCAGCACCAGCACACACGCCTCAACCTCCTCACTCCGCTCAATGCGCGCCAAACCTTCCTCTCCCCATACCGCCTCCACTGGCGCCGCACTTCCCGCCGCCTCCCACGCTTCTGTTAGCACTTCCGCCGAGCCCTGGGAGCGGCTCCAGATGAATCGAAGCGCGATCTCGGCCTTGATGTCCTTCAGTATTGGCAGATACGCGTCGCGCGCGAAGATTCCCGCGCCTAGCAGCGCGATCTGCACGGGATGTTGTGAAGTATTCGCCGCCATTGCTTGGAAAAGCGGATGGCTTTTGTGCGTGGTGATGGTGGTGAGTGATGGAGGTGGATGTGGGGGAGAACGGCGATTTTTACGCGTTACAACCGAAGGTCGAAATTGTTGAGGTGCAGACTATTTTTTAGCGAATAGGAGTTCACATTTTAATGACAGTACATTTGTTGCTTGCTTTCGAGCCACCACCTAGAGAAAATTTACAGCATAGTTACTCTAAACCCAACTTAACTATTGTAAAAGTCTTCAGCCAGAGCCTTATCTTTCAGTTACTTACATACAGAAGGCCCTGCTGTAATGAGAAGTAAAACCATTTGAGTAGTATATTTACGCGGAATTTATGCGTACAGAAGAGCGACTGGTCATAGGTGCTTCAGTACCAGTCATTCTCAGGCTATTATTACCCACCCTTTTTCATGTCATGTACACAACATCAACAGGCAACATGCACCCTCCCAAGCAATATGGAGGGGGACAGAGGACACCTAAGTGGGGAGGGAAGAGGAGCTACAGGAGACACAGGTCGGGACTAAAAAGAACTGGAAAGCAAACGCAGCACCAGAGGCGGGAGGGAGGAAGGACACAGAAACCAAGAGCTCAGTTCCACTTGGAAAAAAAAGAACAGATGTTGCCTTGAACCATTCAGGTTCAGAGAAGCCTTTTGTTGTGCAACTTCAGGGAAGACCGTAGAAGACTGTAGATGCAGACATTACTCCACACAGTCAACAGCCATCATCACCACCACCATCATCACCGCCTCCTATGATGTAGTAGCTCAACTGTGCAGCACATGGCGCAGACGGGCAGATGACCCGCGCCGCGTCAACGCATTTGCTTCTTGGATACGCTCAGAAGTCACCCCTACGTTGACGCACGCTTCGGCTGCACGAGTCACATCTCCCTCCCGCTGCTACGTTGCAGCCGCAGCTTGAGCCTCGTTTGCGTCCCGTGTGACTGGTCCGTACAGCATGCTGCTGCTGCTGCTGCTCCTCCTCCTCCTGCTCCTCCTGCTGATCCTCGGCATGGTGTTGGGTTGTTTCGTGTCCCCCCGTCGGGTTGCCAGGAACGGCAGGCGGCACGGGGACCGACGACAGGCGCTCCGTCTCCGTCTCCGTCTCCGTCTGCACTTTCCCCGCAGCATTCTGATCCGATCCAGGCAACGAACCCCCGTCATCGCCACCGTTACCACCGCCACTCGACGCTGTCTCGCAGTCAGCAGCAAACGAGTCCGTCTTTCCGGCGTTCCCACCGCTGCAATTGCCGGCATCCGTCGTCACAGCACTGCTCCCGCTCCTACTCTCACGAATATCGTCGCCCCGCACCCGACACATAGACGATTTTGAGGGCTCCGCACACCCCGCCGCTTCCGCCGCTTCCGCCTCCGCCCCTGCAGGCACCGCGGCAGGCGCTGGCGCTGGCACTGCTGCCGAATCGTCTGCGGACAGAGGCGATTCTTCTCCTGCAAACCAGCTGTCGCCACACTCCGTCTCACCCCACACGGCGGGATGCAGCGCGTGAAGCGGGTAACCCGTTACAGACGAAACCTTCGCCTCAGAAGGAGAGCTGGGACGAGGACTGCTGCTGCTGATTGGCGATGACGGCGACAGTGACGGAGACGATGACGGAGAGGACGAAGGACTGGAACACAACCCGCCACGAGCACTGTGGCTTTCGGAGAACGAATCGGCGTCGGAAGCGTACGAGAGGAGAGTGGGTGGCAGGAGGGCGCAATCTGCGAGCGTGGGCGCGCAGGGAGGCGTGGAGAATTGCGCGGAGAGGGCGGGCGAGGCGACGTGCGCGTCGCAGTGGATGATGCAGCCATGAAGCATTGGACAGTCGATCATCACGACCTCCCCGTCATCTGCGCCTTCTTCGAATTCTTCCCACACGCAACGCGACTGGCGGCTTTTGATTTGTGCAAACTCGAGTTGGACAGATTGAAGCGCTTTTTCAGGGAGGAACTCTGCCTGCTCTGTCAATTCGTCCATGCGACTTGAGAAAACGGATGAAAACGCCATGTGGGAGGGAGAGAGAGCCCGAATTAGAAGGCAGTCTAAATTGATGTGAAGGGTTCAATCACAGGCTCGAAGCTGAGAAGGCGCACAGCATGACTAATGACTGGAACACTTGAGGATGAGCACTAGAACTGTCTTATGGTGGAAGTGAATTTCATGGAACTGCTTAACTTGAAACATTCGATGCACCTCTTCCACCAAGCATCACAACACAAGTCGTTGGGTTGGGGGGCAAATGAGGGTGAGGAAATGACGGACGAATGCAGGCGCGTGCGAGTGAACAGGCGGGACGGGACGGGACGGGTCACGGAACGGACATTTTCAAGCCAATGGAAAAACTTTGAACCGGGCTTGGTGGCAAGCAACAAGCAGGAGGAATTGTATGAGCTGAACTGGATGGGATGGACGATTGGATCGTGGCACACTTCAGGCGGCTCGGGGCAGTCTATTTTTTTCAGGCTGCGTGGGATTATGGGAGATGCTGGCTTTCCAGCTGTGGGTTGAGGTGGTCTGGGATTGGAACTGGGGCAGGGAATCAATTCTCCACTGGCCGAATCCTTTATGGATTGGTTAAGAAATTTTGTAAAAGTTTTGCTCTAGTTGCCGGGTCCGGTCTGGATCCCTAAATCGGAAGCAGATGCGTAGGTCCGGGTCCCAGTCTAGTTGCCTTGACCAGGCAGGGTTCAGAGTGTGTTGAGGTCGAGGTCGTCTCCCGTAGCAGTGTGAAACGTAGCAATTTTGAGAGCACAAAATTTCATGTTCCCACAAATCGAAATTGCTGAGTGACGGGTCGTGTTGCATTTCATTCTTGCAGTACTTTACGGAGAGCGTGATTATGGCACGCTATGCCTTACTATCACTCACGTGTACACTAGTCAGAATCTCTGCTTATTTTAATTACAGTATTTAGCGCGTGGCCCACTTATACAGTACCGCAATTTCTTTCAGCCATGTGTCCTTGGATGTGATGAGGCGCGAAAGGGCTGGTTCTGTGATCACCTTTCTACGGTTGGCGTCTCCAACACGTAAGAGACATCAGTCGGAAGTCGTTAGCAGTAGTTTCTCGGGCACAGAAGATTGTTGTCGTGGGAAATGACTGAAGGGACCAAACAAACGCGCCTCGCCAGCTGTTGTTGGGAGACCCGTACTTTGTAAAAACAAGCACCCTCATTTTCCTATACACCCTGTTTCGCGCTAGCAGAGCATCTGGTTGCAGAACATGCACCGGTTGTAGAACGTCACCACGTTTGAAATGGTCTTATCACCGACGGTACAAGCACATTCACAAGAAAGCGGTTAGCTAGGATGCTGCATGGTAAAGAACATTAACCAAGCGTTTCAAAGCGGTTAAAAAGGGTATACAGCGATAAAGGAAAATTTTGCCCCCAGGACCACTCCGTCAGCTGGTGCGGCTTTGCCCGCAGGATTCAGCCATACGGTTTATGGCACCTGACCGCACTGTAGCAACGAATCGCGCAAGGTGAGAGGGTCGAGAAACAGGGTGTATGTACATTCCGGAAGTGTAGAATATCATCGACAATTGGCTGACTCGGCCGAATACTGCTTTGACTACTGACGAATAAGAGTATGACAACACATGGAAGAGCACGGGATTTGTGCGTGAGTGATGTGGAATCCAAGCATGGTTCAGATGCCAGGCGACCCATCACTTCAAGAACCACTCACAATGCAGTATGTCAGGCAAACTCGAACATACCACGTCAGCTGCATGCTTCGACATTCTGTACTCATCGAGGTGCCATGCTGGCATCCCCATCCCCGTCGAAATTCCAATTTGTGGAGGAAATTGTTCCGGGGGTTGTTCAAGACTTTTACTGTATGTTCGTCCGTGCGACAAACGGATTGCAGTGCGACTGGCCAAGGCAGTGACTCCTGGCACCAGTCCGAAGTTGGGGTTGACGAAGCCCACGGCATCAGCAAAAGGACTGCTGTTGGTGGCATGGCAACGAGGCATCCGCAAATGAGCAGCTGGCAAGGCTTGATGGCAGCACCAGTAACAGCAACACAACCCAACCAACCAACGAGCTTGAACGGTAGTGTTCTAAAGATATCCAAGCATCAAAGGTCATACTTCTAATCAACTCTACATGGAAAATGAATAACATTTAGCTTGTACTAAGCAATATTCTGGCAATGTCACCAGTAAATTACACACAAGCAGCATGCCAGGTGTATTCACAATCTAGCAGCCAAGCAAGCTCATAATAAAAAACCACACGTGAGGGCACACAGTACAGTTGTCATCTCTCAGATCACCATTAGGGCGCGTAACCATTTTGCACCCGACGGAACGAACCGTGGACCGTCCATCGTGGCGAAGGGTTACCATTTTCGTTTAATGTCGTTCAGTTCTTCGCGAGGACGTTTGCGACGTTGCTAAAAAATCGAACTGTCATGACACTTTTTCCGCTTTCTAACGACACGAAACTCTGACATCGGACTGTCCGAATCACAAACGGACTGTCCGCCTGTCCGCGCACGCTATTGGCGGGCGAAATTGAATTTCAGCGGACCGCCTCGCCAAAACATGAAAAAATGCGACTCGGATGCAAAGATTGACATTGACCAATCACGACTAGCCATACTACCCGTCATCGCCCGGATATAAGGCAGTGTTGAATAGTAGACAGGGGTTGTCTACTATACAGGTGTCTCTTAAAAACAAGCTAGCCTTTTTATACGACACCTATTTGTGTGTACGAGTTAAGACATATATGTCTTTAATCAGAATCAGGGTTTCGGGGTTCTCTTATAAACAGGAGGTGTCTTCTTAGCTAGCTTTCCTACTTTAGAGGGGTACATGCATACAGTCATGAATCTCTACTTCTACCTAACTGTCAAATGTTGTAGCCTGTAGTGAGGTTTGTCTTAGGGGGTATAGAAGTTAGGGTTTGTTATATGTACCCCAACCAACATCAATGGCATCATCATTCCTCATTTTGACATGGTATCAGCTAGGTTAGG